GTTGGCCCCAGCTATTTGGGAGGCTAAGGTGGGAGGATTGCTTGAGCCTGGGAAGTCAAAGCAGTAAGCTGCGATCTTGCCACTGCACTCTAGCCTGGGGCCACCCTGTCTCAAAAAAAGGTATTTCATGTAAACAGAGGGTGAAGTGGCTAAAGAGAATTGAAGAAAAGAATAGACAATTTAACAATAAGAGAGGGAGCAGTCAATACTCCACATTCAATAATAGAGCAACTGGGCAGAATATAAAGAAGGATACAGAAGATTCAAACAACACTATAAACCAACTAGACCTAACAGACATATACATAGAACACTCCACCAAACAACAGCAGAATTTATGTTCTCTCCAGTGCACAAAGAATATTCTCCAGGATAAACTATATGTTAGGCCACAAAAAGTCTTGTTTGATTTTAAAAGATCAAAATCATACAAAGTATGTTCTCCAAGTATAGGGGAATGAAATTAAAAATCAGTAACAGAAGGAAATTTAGAAAATTGACAAATATGTGGAAATTAAACACTTAAACAATCAATGGGTGAAGGAAGAAATCATAAGGGAAATTAGAAAATATATTGAGACACATGAAAACAAAAACACAACATACCTCAACCTATGGGATACAGTGAAAATAATGCTCAGAGGGAAATTTAGAGCTGTAAAGAAGAAAATGGCTGGGCGTGGTGGCTCACGCATGTGATCCCAGCACTTTGGGAGGCCAAGAAGGGCAGATCACTTGAGGTCAAGAGTTCAAGAACAGCCTGGCCAACATGGCAAAACCCTGTCCCTACTAAAAATACAAAAATTAGTCAAGTGTGGTGACAGGTGCCTGTAGTTCCAGCTACTCAGGAGGCTGAGGCAGGAAAATTGCTTGAACCCAGGAGGCAGAGGTTGCAACGAGCTGAGATTGTGCTACTGCATGCACTCCAGCCTGGGCAAAAGAGTGAGACCCCATCTCAAAAACGAAAAAAACAAAAACAACAACAACAACAAAAATACCTCTCAAAGCAATTATGTAAGTTTCCACATTAAGGAACTAGAAAAAAAAAACCAACTAAACAAAAAAAAACGCAAACTAAACCCAAATCAAGCAGAAGGAAATACGATTAGAGTAGAAATAAACAAAATAGAGAATCAACAAAACCAAATATTTTTCTTTGAAAAGATCAACAAAAATAATGGATGAATCTTCAGCTACACCTCATAGGCGCCACCTCCTCAACTTAATCTTACTTCTCTGTTCCCATCACTCCACTTAGACTGCACTTGAATAATTCAAGGGCCCCTGCTATTCTCAGCAGCAATTGATAAATTTGAGTAATTTGCACTTGAATAATTCAAGGTCCACTGAATCCTTAGCAGCAATTGATAAATGTGAGTAGTTCCTTCTTCAATTGGCTCTCCTGGTTTTTCTTCCTCAATGCCCAATCCTTTCCCATCTCCTTTGGTGGCTTCTTTGCTTGGCTTGACCACTAGTGTTGGAGCCTTTGGGCTATTTAGGCTTTCTTAACTATCAACAGACTCTTCCTACGCAACACCATCCTATGGCTTTTAATAGCATCTCTATGCCAATAAACTCTCAAATCTGATCTCCAGCCAGGCCAGCACTCCGAACTCTAGACATATCCAATTGCTTTTCAGTCATGTTGACATCGGGATCTACATCAGCTTTAGAAGTTATGTCAATGTCAGCAGCACCACTATTTTTCCAGTAGTATCATCAATCCAGTTGCTCAGACTAAAAATGTAAGAGTTAACCTCCTATTAGCATCCTAAGGCAAGCTACCACTATCCCTCACCTTCGTTACAACAGCCTTCTTAGACCCAGCAGATTGACTCTCTCAATTACCAATTTTACCCAATAATTGGAGAAGTTGGAAAAGCATTATTTATTTTTTTTTTTCGAGGCAGGGTCTTACTCTGTCACCCAGGCTGGAGTGCAGTGGCATGATCTCAGCTCACTGCAACCTATACCTCCCAGGTTCAAGAGATTCTCCTTCCTCAGCCTCCCGAGTAGCTGGGACTACAGGCACGTGCCACCACACCTGGCTTACTTTTTTAGTAGAGACATGGTTTCACCATGTTGGCCAGGCTGGTCTCGAACTCCTGACCTCAAGTGATCCACCCACTTCAGCCTCCCAAAGTGCAGGGATTACAGGCATGAGTCACCCCACTCGGGCAGAAGTTAGAAAATTAAAAGCACTTCCCAAACACCTTTACATGTAGTTTTGGGTTGGAATTAGAGATTGTCAATTAAATACACTAGTACAAAGTTCGTCAAGAGAAGCAAGACAGAGGCACTCTTCCTATTACTATCTCTGCTGGTAAGCGAAGTCACAGAGCTCGAAGTGTTCTGTGTGGAAAGGTTGCAACAGTAGGGCCTGGCATTGAAGTCTGGCCAGCACCGTGGGCATGAGCTGCAGTGGCAATGGTAGCAGGCTTCCTGAGCTGACCACCGTGGGGGGTCCTCTAACTCCACAGTCCAGTTGTAGTTCCCCTGACTCTTCTTCTGCCAGTTCCTCCACTGATTTTGTATACACCTAACTCCTTGAGATTTCTGCCTGCAGCACTCAACCCTGATTTACCTAACTCATCTTCCTGCATCTACTCAGGCTCACCTATAAAGCATTCTCCATCCCATAGTGCCTTAAATATGTAAACCACTCAGGTTATCTTCTGCTCAAAATCCTCCAGTGCCTTCTTACCATACTTAGAATAAATTCAAACTTCTTACTGGAGTACCAAGCTCCAGATCTGGCTTCGGCCCACTTCTCTGACAATATCCAGCCTCTAGGTTCTCAATTCCTGAAGCAGGACAAGCTTTGCCCTAGATTTGTGCTATGCTGTTCCATCTGCATGGAACACCAGTTCTCCTCGTTTCTTACATGTCTTCCATGTCATTTAGATTAGATGTCACCTTCTCATAACCCCCAGTAAAAGAGCCTATTTTCTCTGCACTTACTAGTATCTAATTTTTTCTCGTCATTAGTCACCATTGTCTCTCTTCTCCAAGAATGTATGCACAGTGGGAGTAGGGAGGAACTCTGTCCCCTCACAGCAGATCTGGGGCTCGTGGTAAATGATTAATAAATATGTAAAGAATAAATTTGGGTTATATTTGTAAGGTAGAAAATTTACTTCCGTTACATAATTACTCCAAGTGTGTTAATAACACTTTGCCATCTGGGCACAGGTGGTAGGATAACAAACTTTTGGAATATATTATACTTAACTTCTTTGGGAATAAAAAAACCCTGAAAACAATGCCTTTTTAACACTGCCACTGGAAAAGGGGGCTATCTAAAAATCACTAATTCTTTACTGGGGAAGAGGAATATTAGTTGGATTTCACTCAAGATTACTGCCATTTTTTGCAAACCAGTCCAACTCTTGCAACATTATGCTTTTGGCTTGTAAGGATAAATAAAATATAGTTTTCTCTCTCTAGTTACATCTGCTGTATTTGGGAGAGGGTGGTTGGGGGGAGGCTCACACTTGACGTCTGGAGAAACAGCACCATCTGCTGGGGAAAGGCTGCTGTGCATCTGCATTGGTAAGAAGCCAGGGCTTTCAACCTTTCCTTGTGCAACTATACATTTGACATTCGGCTTAGCAAATAAAACCAGCTTTCCAGAAAACCAAAAGGAAGCTCTGCTACTCCAGGAATATTGGCAAGATTAGGGAATCTTCTGTCAAGGGCTTCTCTTCTAAAAAAGCAACTTGGGCTTCGACCCAAGATTGGAAATCAGTGCCATTGTAGGAAAAAGAACAAGAGAAGTAGATTTGGATTAATAAACAGGAATAAAAACTGACACAACTTTAAGAGGCCTTTGTCCCGTTTCTCTGCAAACAAGAGGCTGAGAAAATTTAGTGCCTTTGTCCTCTTTTTGGAAGTTCCAGGATTTGTTTTTTCCTTCCCCTCATAAGGACTATAAATTCATCTGAATTCACCTTCTAGCTCACTATCTGCATTAAAAAAATTTACTGACACATAATAATTGTGCATATTTATGGAGTACATTGTGGTGTTTCAATAAATGTATACATTGCGTACCACTACTCACATTCTTAGGTATTTTTCCTCTTACCAATCCACTTTATGTTTCAAATTCTTCTCTCTCCATCATATTTGTGAACAGGTTTCTAAGGATCTAAAAATGATTCCACTCACCTAAATTTTCCCTTACTTTTACAAAATGAATCTGATATTTCAACTCTCTCTTAATTCCTGAAATTATTTTCTGCCCTCCTTACTCAGTGTACGTGGGCAGTAAAATGCCTCTCCACCTCGATCCTCTGCTGGCTAGATGCTGCGTGCCTCCCTTTTCCCTCAATTCCTTTCTAATCCAGATCCTAGTGCCTACTCTTCTCTCACTTCTTCCTTTTCCAACTACTCCTTTAAGTATCATTAAGATATACCCCATTCTGTTGTCCGCCTATGAGCTTTCCCAAAAATGTATTAAAGTTCATCCTTTTATTATCATTTGTGGTTTTATCATTTACAAATCATTCCCATTTCTAAGATTTACCTAAACTCATTTCCTTTTTTACTCATATATTTTCATAGTCCTTAGATTTCTTAATTAGCTACTAGATCAAAATTATCAACATAAAATCTTTTATATCCCCTGTCCTCTCATAGTTCTGAGACTTCTTTTTCCTTATTCAAAGCATTTCTGAAATTACTCCTCCAAGATTCATTAGTTTTTCTTGATTAGTTAGGAGAATAACTCCCTCCTTCACTACCTTACAGACCTCAAACTTAAGATTCTCAAAAATGTAACGATCTCATTCATATCCTGAATGCTTACTATCCAAATGGAATAGTAACCTTATATGTATACATTACTCAAATGATAACCAATGAATTGCCACTGGCATGCCATTAAACACACACATCATATATAATTAAGGCAAAAGCTAAATGTCTCTGTTTTTCAGTTTCTCTTTTGTTATGGTTTCTCTTTTGCATGTGGCTAGAGTTCAAGAACTATATAAAACTGAGTGAAGAAAATGCTTTTATTAATTACAACATGAAATTAACAAGACATTCTATTAGAATTAAACCAGGATAAATACTGCTGTTATAAAATTTACATTTTTCACATCCATTCCAGAGGAAAATCTTACATATTAGGGCTCATCTTATATCTTACGAAATGATTTCAGTAAAACTTTTTAAATAGTAAATAGCAATTAACATATCCTCAAACTTTGCTAAATAGTTAGAAAGGCAACTATACAATCTATAATGTAACACCTGGCGGGATGAGAACTGTTCTGCTGAACATTATGAACCGCATCTCTGTCTTAGCTGTTACATCAGTGCACCTTTTTCACTGGTAAGGCAGCTGCTTGCTGTGGGTGTCACGGTGATTACCCAAGCTTCTTAAGTAAAACACACTTGTTTGACCAAGACTCAAGTAAGTTTTCTTTCCCGATTTTGCTCTTTTGGAGTAGAAACACTTTTATCTTTGATAGATATAAGGAGGAAAATATGAAATACAGCTGCTATAATCTTCTAAACACAAACAGGGGCAATTAATTATTATTAGAAATAAGTCTTTGAAATATTTCCTTCTTAAAATAGGGCTTCTGAATAATTTCTGAAAACTAGCTTTCCATTTTAGTACACGACTTGATAAACATAGCACATTAGATAGGTATTTAGCAGTTTCTTCTATCAACTACACTTTGCCCTCAGTAAGGGTTAGAGTATGATTTCAAACAATTTCTACACATAAAGCATCTTTATGTAAGTTTTGTGTTCACTGAACTGAGACTTCTTTCACTTACGTACCTGTGGAAGTTAATTTGAGCATACACATATATATATACTTGCATACATATGTGTATATATATATATATATATTTTTTTTTTTTTTTTAAGTAAGTTACTTTTACCATTAGAATAAACCTAGCCACTATAGGGACAACTCTGTGGGGAAGTGTGGTCTGCCTTGGCAACCCTCCTCTAGGTTGAGGAAGGCAGGTATAGTTCGCTGAAGGATGTGATGAGGCTGTAGTAAGTCTTCTCATCATCTGTCAGTCCTGCGTTGCCCGGTCTCACCACCACAGCTACGTGCACATCCGCTTCCTCGGCAGCACTGGCCTCTGTGAAAATCAAAGGATGTGTGCGTCAGAAACACTAAAAAATGATGTCTGAGATTTGCATCAAAGTCAGCAGGGGGATGTGGGGTTGGAAGAAATGAATTTGGACCCGACTTGATAACTGTTGAAACTAGAAGATGGCACCCTGGGGTTGACTAGATTATTATTTTTTATATGTTTTAATTTTTCCATAAAAATTTTAAAAAATAGGGGTCCAAAGTGGCTCCCGCCGGAGGTCATGGCACTCGCGAAGGCGAGGTCATCAGTTCAAGGCTAACCTCATAAGCTCAAACTGATTGGCAAAAAAAAAAAAAAAAAAAAAAAAATTTTAAAAAATAAATAACGGTACTTGGCAGAAGAAAACAGCAGTGTAGCCTGCACTTCTGAGCTTTATTAAGTACTTGTGAATGCAGAACGATGGAGCCATGTTCTGTCCTACAAATTCCCTCTACTTCCTCCCATCAGCCCTACCGAGAACTGAGCTGCTTCCCAAAGGGCAGGCTGGTGGTAATACCAGTTAAGACAATATGGAGCTGGGCATGGTGGCTCACACTAAAATCTCAGCACTTTGGGAGGCTGAGGCAGGTGGATCTGGGAGTTCACTTGAACTCCAGGCTGAGTCCAGAAGTTTGAGACCAGCCTGGGCAACACAGCAAAACTCTATCTCTACAAAAAATACAAAAATTAGCTGGGCGTGGTGGTGTGTGTCTATAGTCCCTGCTACTCAGGAGTGCTTAGGTGGGAGGATTGCTTGAGCCCAGGAGGTCAAGGCTGCAGTGAGCCGAGATCGCGCGACTGCACTCCAGCCTAGGTGACAGAGTGAGACACTGTATCGAAAAAGAAAAAGAAAAAGAAGATAAAGGACAAAAGGAATCCCATGGTCTAATCAGCCCAAATATTGGGCTTACCTAGAATGAAACAGGTAAGAAATCTGAAATACATCCTGTGGAATTTAGGTTTGGTATAAAAGTAATCCCCAGTAGTTTCTCAACCTTTGGAAAAGAGTCACAGCACCTAAATAGATTAACTGAAGGGCAGTAATGCTGAGAGAGTTAAGTTCCCAGGAGACACACTGGGGTTGAACTATTTCTTCCACCCACCCATCTCCTCAAGTGCCTATTTTCTGTTCTGTCTGTGAAAGAGCCTGTCACCTTCCCAGAACCAACAGTACTCACGACTCTTCCCTCTGTGTGGGATTGCCTTCTTCAGATCACCTCTGCGGATGCCACTGGAGAAAGGCAGCTACCTTCCACTCACGCCTACTTCCTAGCCTGACTGCCCTGAGCAAAGTTTTCATTGTGACTGGCAACCCAGGAATTTGACTAAGTTGAGCCATCACAATCCACATAGGACTTGACACTGTAAGTGGCCGTTCCTATTCAGGCTTCTTATCTAATTCACCGCAGGGCAAGTTTTGTCCCTAAGCATCAATCTGCTCTATTGGCATAATACTGAGACACTTCAATATTTATTGACTGAAACCCCTGGATCCTTTTCTTTTCCTTTCTTCCAAGGGGAAAAGGTCAGCTCTCTTTCATACTTGGGTATTATTTTGGGATTTTATTTTATTTTTTGAGACAGGGTCTCTCTGTCACTCAGACTGGAGTACAATGGCATGATCTCAGCTCCCCACAACCTCTGCCTCCCCAGCTCAAGCAATTCTCCTGCATCAGCCCCCTGAGAGTAGCTAGGACTACAGGCATGCACCACTACTGCCTGGCTAATTTTCATATTTTTAGTAGACACAGGGTTTCACCATGTTGGCCAGGCTGGTCTTGAACTCCTGACCTCAAACGATCCACCTGCCTTGGCCTCCCAAAGTGCTTGGATTACAGGTGTGAGCCACTGTGCCTGGCCAGTATTTGGGATATTAACTTAGTTTTTCATTTTGCCTCATCAGTGGAAGTCTGGGCACATGGTACCAAAACAGGACCAGAGAGAGAGAAAAGAGCAAGCAGGCAGGTAGCTCCCTGCCTCATCCCAGCTGCCCATGACCCACGTTCTTGCCCCACTGCCTAAGCATGTGTGGGGCCAGCAGAAGATGAAGGGCATGAATAAAACTGCCTTACGGAGAATCAAAAGGAGCCAATTTCATTTTGAAGCCAATTTAGGGATTATTTCTATTCTCCAAAATCAGGAGTAATTTCTACAACTGCAACTGAGAAAAAGGCTTAAGTGAAAAGATAAAGATTCAAAATTATAGATGTACTATGTGAAGCCAAATACAAAAACTAAGTGGCTAAAGACATGAATATGAAGAAACTAAGTGGTCGTAGGGCAGGGGCTGTAGTTCTTAACGTGGAGACAGAGCAAAGGTCAGGCATCACAAATTGAACTGTGCATTTAATCCCAGAACTGGCTGGCTTTGAGCGGAGCACTAGCCACAAAGCAGACCCTTAATTCTAAGACTGTAGAAATTTACCATCCAAAGTTTGAGGGAAATTAAATATAAGGCAAACTACAGACTTTCATCTGCAACCACCTGAATGATTAAAGAAAAACAATTCACGGATTAAGCCAGCTAAACTCACCAGAACAAGGCCTATCTCCTTTCCGTAAGAACTGAAACATAGTAAAAGGTTTTGAAATTATCATTCTTCACAGAAAATCATGACATATATCTACCCTTCATTGACAGTAAAATAAACTCCCCACCCTACCACTCTAAGCCCTCCAAAATCACTTAAGGGTATACTGAAGCTTCAAATCAGGAAAATGCTTCTATACAGAAAAATGACAGGCAAACATTGACAGTAAGTTCAAAGTAGAGGCCAGGTGAAATGGTTGTTGCTGATGCTAATGCTCCTTGACAGTACATTTCACATGACCTGGCTCCTACTTGTTACACAGTGAACCTTGAAGCACTGTATCTGTGCAACTGTCGGTCTTTCTTCCAGTACAATCAGATATGTAAACATAAAGCTTTCTAGAAAGTAGAAAAAAAATGAGCTCACAGTTTGTAGAAATGCTTGGACACAAGCATAATCAAAAACAAAATCTGCTAAGTTTTCAAATTTCGTCAATTAATATCTAAAACTCCAGGTCAGGCGCGGTGGCTCACACCTGTAATCCCAGCACTTTGAGAGGCCAAGGTGGGCAGATCATCTGAGGTCAGGAGTTTGAGACCAGCCTGGCCAACATGGCGAAACCTCGTCTCTACTAAAAATATAAAGATGAGTCAGCTGTGGTGGTATGTGCCTGTAATCCCAGCTACTTGGGAGGCTGAGGCAGGAGAATTGCTTGAATCCAGGAAGCAGAGGTCGTAGTGAGCTGAGCATGCCACTGCACTCCAGCCTAGGTGACAGAGCAAGAATCTGTCTCAAAAAATAAAAATAAAAAAATTCCAGTCTAGATTAACCAAGGGCTGAAAATTTTAAAAGATATTAATAATTACTAAATGTCTATTGTATGTCAGGTAAAATTAAGCCTATTCTACCTCTATTTCTTAGGAAAAAGTTATTAAAACTTTTTAGGTATTAGATGACCTATGCTGATTAACTTTTTAAAGCAGCTTAGCAAATTAGTATCTGCTTACATACCTACCACTCTTGCCTATCTCAATAAAGCAAAAGCTCAAGGGTCAGCAGAAGAGAAAGAACAGCTCAAACACACAGCCTTTTATAGGCACCTGATAAGGTACCTTTACCAGAAGCCTGGATTTTCCTTTGGGCCCTATCTCTGAAAATCTCAGGAGTAACTTTAGTTCTATAACAGATAGGCAGGGCTGGAGAGAGGACTCTTTCCTACAGACTGCTGAGGCTGCCACCAAGAGGCCCAGGAGTCAGGTGGAGCTGACTAAGCAAAGGAGCATCTGTCCCCTCTGCCCCTTTTCCTTAATCCCCTTCCCCAACCTGCTGTCACAGACACAGTTTGTCAAGAGCATCTGCACAGTACACAAAGCCCTGTTAAAGAGGTAAACAGAAGATATGAATGCAATCCCAGAGAAACTTGCAATCCAAGGCAGAATGGAAAAAACACAAGTATGTAGAATTGCCCTCAAATACAAGCAAAATTATAAACACACTAAAAGCAGGCTCAGTGGGTGATGCACAAACTCTATGCAGCCAGGGGAAGGCCTTACCAACCAGGGGCTTTTCAGTAAGAACTGCAGAGGCCACCTTCCTCCAGCACCCTTTACCTTTCACCTGCTTCCTCTTTCCTCATTCACTACTTTCTCCTTCTGTAATTCTCTAGAGGACACACATTCTTAGGCAGATGCTGGAGTATGTGTTTTCCATTTGATCAAAACTACTCTTGAAGGCCAGGCACGGTGGCTCACACCTGTGATCCTAGCACTTTGGGAAGCGGAGGCAGGCAGATCACTTGAGGTTAGGAGTTCAAGACCAGCCTGGCCAACATGGCAAAACCCCATCTCTAACAAAAAATAAAAACAAAAGGAGCCAGGGGTGGTGGTGCACACCTGTAATTGCTTGAACCCAGGAGGCAGAGGCTACAGTGAGCTGACATCGTCCCACTGTACTCCAGCCTGGGCGACAGAGCAAAAGCCTGTCTACAAAAAACAAACAAAAAAACCTACTCTTGGGGAGGACTCAAGATGGCGCTGTGAGAACAACCCAGGATTGGAGCTCTTCTAGTTGAATCTGCAAACGGTGAGTCAGAGCGGATTTCCAGACTGATCTTTGTTGCCCACAGAACGGGGAAACTCCCAAGTATAAAAAAGACACGGGACGCCAGGCAGTAGGTCTGCCTGGCGAAGCCGGCAGCCAGGGCGGCGGCGGCCGACCCTACCCAGCAATCCCCACAGGGCGCGCTTGTCCGGGTGCCCTGTTGAACCGGCAACCTGAGACTTGAGAGGGCTGGACTTGAGACTGAACGAGACTTGGACAATAGGCCAGCCCAGGGGATTGCAGGGATTGGGATACCCAGTGGGACAAACAAAACCGCGATTTCAAACTATCCCGAGCAGACGGTCCGAGACGCTCTGTGGGGGAGGGGCGTCCACCACTACCGAGGCAACCCGCCCCAACTGAGATACACGCCCA